CTCATGAGGATCCAGAGAGTCCTGGATTCTCCGGCGTTGGTCGACCTTGGTAAGGTCGATCTGGACGCTCTGGGCGAGCCGCCCAAGGAGTACGTCTCGGATGAAGATCACGAGAGTTATGTAGACGATGATGGAATGGGTCCATATGTGGACAAATTCTCATCAATGGGTGACCGCGACCTAGTGCCCTCAAAGCAGGAGCCGCCTTACTATGAGGCAAAGGCGTGGCGCACCACTGAAGAAGAAATTGAAAGGATGAAGAACCTTTTTCCATTCTTTCGTGCCGAAAATTATCGGCTTATGTCTGCGAGTACTGGTCCTATAGGTACCAAGTCGCACGTACAGGGCGTCCTCCCAACAGGTGCGTCGTTGGAAGAGGCACTGATGGCTAAGCCCGGTGTGTGCCCGATTACGAGCACCTACAACCTCACATACGAGGGTGAAGAGGTTGTGATTGATGCACAGGGCGGGATAGCAGGCAGAATCGCCTGTCCTGCCGGAAATGACATCTTCCATTTTTTCCCCGAAATTAGGGATGTGTCGGCGTTTGTTGGACGAAGCTCCAGGGAATCGCAAATGCTGCTAGAAGTTTTGTCGGGCAACACTGACCCTACGCGGTTAAACGTGAAGCCCGGTGAGCAGCCTCCCTTCTTGTTTGGGACGGTTCCAGACATTCTGGGAGGTTGGATGTCAATGACTCTGATCTCAACGCTACTTGAGGCCCTATACGGGATCCACAAGTGCACGAGTGTCGAGGTAGCGACCTGGGCGGGTGCTCTCGCAAAGGAAAGCCCATCGTACCCTCCAGTCGAGCTCCTAATACGGACAGTCTGGAGGACAGATGGCACGAGTGTGCGCCCGAATGAGGTGCTTTTTGCGCGGTCCACCCTAATCGGGAGGGACGTGCCGTTCAAAGTTTTCAAGCGTTGGGCACTGCGTGACCGAACGCCTATGGGGCCTTTGCTTAGGCCGATGGGAGCAGCAGAAGTCCCTTATACGGGATACGTGCTGCTGACGATGGCCGAGTATCGGTCCGCCCTCAAAACGAGGTGCATCCGGAGGCCTGGCAAATTCGCCATCACAGTTTTCCCCATGCGACCTGAGCAGGTCTGCAGGGGGGAGATCATGATTGGGATGGAGGGCGCAAAGGTGCCTTTCCTCAAGTTGCCCAGCCCCAATAATGAGGGCGAATTTTATGTTGACGACCGCGTCAAGTACATGGACAAGCGCCATGTCGTTGTGGCCGTTGACCTAAAGTGGATGGCCATCGAGGAAGCCGCCGGCATCTACAAAACCCGACGCGGTTTGATCGCCGTGCGGGAAGAGATACATGCGCCATTCTGGCGCGCATGCTATCTGCATCAGGAAGGGGATGTAATATACATCCGCCCCTGGGCGGTCCGTGAGTTGAATGTTCAGGGACCGCGGAGAGGGGTGTCATTTTCATGGGACAATGCTCCCATGCATGACTACTGGTGCCCTCGGTGCGCGCATTTGAACATGTATGGCACCATTCTATGCAATGGTTGCCATCTGCCGATTTTCTATCGTGAATGGGTGCCAGGCACCGTCCGCGCTCTGGTTAAGCATGGACAGCCAATCTGGCTGAGCGAACTCAAAGCAGTCCGCCCCAGCAGCTGGCATGAAGGGGAGACCGACGCGTGGGCCCCTCTCATGGCATCGGTAAACCCGATTCGCGAGGTGGTCAGCTGCATGATCACCGGTTTGCGCTGCGCGCCGCATCTTGTGCACATTCCCAATGCGGATATTGTGCAAGTTGCGTTTCAGGAGGTTGCAAAGGTCACCTCAAAGGACACTCACGCTTGTGTGCGGGCGAGTGATGAGGCTCTCGAGCGGTGGGTAGCGAAGCAGCTGCTCATCGAGGAGAGCAACACTGGCGTCTCGATTCCCGACAATATGTCTGTCATGGCATATTTAATCGAGCACCCGCAACAGGCGGCGCAATGGGGTCGTCATATGACGAGAAAGGGCAGTCTAAATTCAGCATTTGCCCTTTACCTCTCTGTGCATATCTTTGATGCCTACCGCATCGGGATTGAGGACGGGTATTTGGTTCCGCTGTATGGCCTAGGCGCCTCACGCGCGGACATCATAATGTCGTTGGTACAGGCTGAGCGACGCCTCACGGACTTCAATACTGAAGATCCGAGTTTCGACGCTTCCACTGTTCTTGATTGGAATATCGACTCTTTGCGGGCAAGTGGTGGATCCATCACGGCCCCAATTGAGTATGCTGAGGCATACATTTATGTCGAAGACAATAAGGTTGACATGGTCCCCGCTTCGCGGCGCGACGGCCAATGCGCCATTGTCTTTGCTGACCCGCCGGTTGGGAAGCACCACAGGCGGGCAGCCACTCCTAGGGGAGACCAACGGTCTGCTACCCCGCGACCTGAATCCAGGTCAAAGGGTGATCAGCAAAAGGGCAAAGCCCCTGCACAATCCTGGCCCAAGGGCGGAGGTCACAAGGGTGACCAGTTCCCAGGAAAGGGTCACAAAGGTGATCAGTACAAAGGCAAGGGTGGCCAATACGGCTACCAACAAGGGCAGTTCGGTCGTGGCGGATCCGCCAGATCGAGAACTCCCACTGGCGGGTATCAGCCTGATGCTCGCGGGTCGGGATACAAGGGTGCTCAGGCAGCCCCTTTCCCGTTCCCAAGTCCGATGTACCCCGCTTTCCCAATGGGAGGGTACATGCAACAGCCAATGGCTGGCATGATGCCGCAAATGTGGCCTGGCGCAATGCAGCAGGGTTGGCAGCCGCACATGCAGGGTGATCCACGCGAGTTCGAGAATCCGAGCTCGCCGCATACCCCTACCTGGGGTGCGGATGATGAGTTGGCCGAGACCGTGCCTCCTCCCCCTGGGGACTGGAACGTCAACAAGGGGAGGGGACGGCGCGGCGGCGGACGACATCGGTAATACCTGGTGTCCGTCTGCATCTTTTGCGTAGCGGCGCCAACGCGCGCGTGCTTTCATTCCGGAATTCACATAATGGACAATGCTCCCTGTAGTATTTCTATGTTTGGGCTATTCGCCATTCCAGAATTCAACTGCATGCGCAGCTGTGCGCTATTCGCGCTGGCGGCGATTACCTGTCAGGTGTGCGTCGCCGCAGCAAGGCAGTTACCCTCGCCGGTGTCTACGGCCGCTGGTTGTCAGCATCGTCCAGCACCGCTGCTGCTGCTGGAGATGGAACTCATCAAGGTGCTGCGGTGAGGATCACGGATGCGCTGCACCGCTGCCGGTGAAGTCCTACTCGGATCTGGACCGCTGATTGCAGCTGGTGGTGTTCCTACTGAAGGTCTTTGTGTGATCGCGCGCCTAGACGGTGCTACTTTAAAGACCAAGGTCTTGTGGTCAAAGCACCATGTTTCAACCAGCAGGCCAATGCGCCTAAATCATGAATTCAGGAACTAAATCCACTTGAACCTTGCGGTTCGTTGTGGTTGCATTGCAAATGTAATTTTATTTCATGCCTGCCATTCTGGAGTTGAATCTTTGTTTCTGTTTCTTTTTGCTTTCTCTTGTTTGATTTGGCTACCGGCGCGAATCCGCCCCATACCCGTAATTCGGGGTGGTGGCGGGATCCGGGCACCAATGAGTGCCCGGGTATGGGGTCGCGAACCCTGGTAGCCTAATCGGCTTTGTTTTTCTTGTTTATTGCATTTCAACTTCAACATGGCCAATGCGCCTTTCCAAATTCACTCCATCTCTTTGTACAGTCGAGGGGGGTGTTTTTGGGGGCATGTAGTTTTATCATAGCATGTTTCCATGCCACGGCCAATGCGCCGTTTGGCTCAAGCTTTTCAATCCGGCAACTTGCCCTTGCAATTTCGTCACCGCGCACCGCGGCACATCGTGCTCGTCTCCGGCAAAGAGTGCCGCTGCCGAGCGCCTGTGGTGGTGCTTCCGGTGGAGGTTGGTCGGGGGTTCTGGTTGGGGTTGGTGCGCATTTGGTTTGCTTTGCTTGCTTCGCTGCATTGTTTGCCTGCTTGGTTTGCTGCTTTGTGCTTGCTTTCGGTTGTCTCTGCCCTTGCTGGGTTTATTCATCATTTGGTTAAAGGCACCCTGTTTTGGTTCGTTTGTTGTGCCAGCCGGGGGCACCGCTTTGCCCTTGGGACTGGGGGACTTAACAATCTCTTCTTGTTGGTGGGATTGGGCCTGTTTATTCTCTCCCGAAATACTGTTTCAAACCCTTTCGCACTTTCCTTTCTTCCTTTCTTTCCTTTCTTGTTTTCTTCCTTTCTTGTTTTCTTGCTTTCTTGCTTTCTTGCTTTCTTTTTGCTGTAATTATTTGGTTCTGTCTTTCTTTCTTTCTGTCGTTCTTTCTTTCTTTCTTTTTTTTCTTTCTTTCTTTCTTTCTTTCTTTCTTTCTCTCCTTCTGTTGCGTTGTTTCTTTCTTCCATTTTTCTAGTCTTTCTTTCTTTCTTTGTTTCTTTCTTTCTCTGTCTCTTTGTTTTCTCTTTTTTTTCTCTCTCTCTCTCTTTCCAATTGGACTGTGTTCAATCTATCTATCTACTTGTCTATCTGTCTGTCTGTCTGTCTGTCTGCCTATCTATCTATCTCTTTAATCTAGCTATCTATCGATCTATCTAATCTATCCATCCATCCATCCATCCATCCATCCATCCATCCATCTATCTATCTATCTATCTATCTATCTGCACATTACCTTGCGAAAGTGCTGCGCCTGCCACCAAATCTGCACCTTACCTTGCGAAAGTGCTGCGCCTGCCACCAAATCTGCCCTTGACCTTGCGAAAGTGCTGCGCATGCCGCGAAATCTGCACTTGGCCTCGCGAAAGTGCTGCGCCTGCCGCGAAATCTACACCTCGGAGTCGGGAAATAGGCGCCTGCCACGCAATCGGCACGCAGCAGCTCGCGTATCCACACTTGAGGTTGCCAAAGTGCTGCGATTTGCTCAAATGCTGCAATTCCACGTCAGAAAGGGGTGGGGGGAGGAATTTGTTGCCTAGGTTCAGACGGGCCCGGACGCCATGTCCGACAGCCTGCCGCAAGGTCTTCAAGTGGTGAGCCCTCGGATCCTCTCGAAGCTCGGTGATGCAGGGAAAGTCCAGACGTTAGTTGAGGTTGAGGCGGTATTTGTTTCTTTGGTTTGGGGGTTCGACCATCGGCCCTTGGCAAACGCAAGGAAGCAAACCCTCCATACCTTAGCATATAGAACAGTTTTAAAATCGGGTGGTGGGTTCCTGCTTTGAAGCCCTCAGACCCCATGTTTTTGCACTTTACATTGTTTGGTCGTGTTGAACCTGAGTGGTTTTCATTTTGGCCAATCTCAGTCGCACCGGCGCAATCCCAAGCCACTGGATCTGACATGGCTTCATGAATTTGGCTGCGATCCTATATTCCTTCTGGGTAATTCAAACATCATCGCTAACTTCTGACCCTCGCGCCTCGGTCCTTGGTTGTGCTTGCCACAACCACGTCTGCATTTTTTTTTATTTTCGCACTCCAAATGGGCTACGGAGGCACCCCCAGGGTGATTTGTCTTTGGGCGTCCTTTTCAACGGCTTGGGTTTGGGGCACCCTCGAACCCCACACCTTCTGCCCGTTCCTTTTTGGACGGTTTTTCCTTAGCCACCAAACAAAGGTTTCCTTTCTTGTCCACTGCAGGCCTGCACATCCCAAAGGTTTTAGCTTCAGGGAAGCCGTTGGGGACGGTTTTGGGGGTCCTCTTTTCGCTAAATGAGGCGCCTTTTTGTTGAGAACGTTTTGTTGGGGCCTTCGCTTGTGTTTTGACGTGTGCTTTTGGGGGGTGCTTTTTCTGCTCATTGGAGCAATGTTGAGAAGCCATCGCTGGAATGGTCCCCCTTCTTTTTGTCAGCCAACAAGTTAATGCCCTTCCCCAGGTCTTCGGTCTCCAGAACCCTTTACAGAAGCTCCTTCGTAGGAGTCTTCCTCAATGAGGTCCCATTTCCCAATCATGTACTGTTGGAAGCCCCCAAAACGATTCGCGATTTCCTTCAGCTTCACCAAGGCCACATTCCGAAGCGCCCCAAGCAACAGAAGCTGGTGTCCTCCTTCGAAATAAAATCGATTTGGGAGCCGCGAAGCAGATTTCCACGCTCCCCCCGTCCCTCCCCCCCCCCCCGTGCCCCCCCCTCCGCGGTGTCTCCCACGAAACCTTTTGCTTTCGGGCTCCGAGGATCAGCCGAAACCACGAGTATGAGGTTGGGGAGCTGGTCATCACCATCGAGGGGGAGCACTTTGGGACCAAGGACAACGGAAACATGGCCTCTTGGCAACCGGTTTCTGTGTTTGACTTGTTTTAGTGTTGATTTGAGTTGATTTGCTTAGTGTTGACATGAGTTGATTTGTTTAGTGTTGATTTGAGTTGATGTGATTTAGTGTTGATTTGAGTTGATTTGTGTAGTGTTGACACGAGTTGATTTGTTGCAGTTGTTTGTTGGGTCGGCTGGTTGGCTGGCTGTTTGCGTGTTTGCTTGCTTGATTGCTTGCTTGTGTGTGTGTGTGTGTTTAACATGGGCATGTTTAATACTGAGTTTGATCCCAGACGTCCAAAGAATCGATCATGCCTGCTGCCCTTTGGCCCCGGACTTTTGTTCAGACATCCTACAAACCACCCCGCCCAAAGACGCTTAGGGCCTTAGAGCAACTTTTATCCCCACCCCCCACCCCCCGGGCAAATGTATGGGGAGGAGGATCCACATCTCTGGAGGTTGCCATTGTCGGTACCAAAAGGTTGGCTGACGCGTTTTGGCATCTTATATGCTCCAAAGGTTGTGTTTAGATTGTTTGGTTCCTTCCATGTTTATTGGGGGGCAACTGTCGCTATGTTGTCGTCATGAAGGCAAAGCCGGGGGCCAGGCGGGGTGAGGGGTTACAAAATGGGTGTGGCGCAAAATGAAGGGGCCCGAAAGACAACAAATGTTGCGTTCTGTTTTCGACCAACTGCGGGGGGTGTACCTTGCTGTTTGGGCGGCGGTCAATGGGAAGAGCTGTGGCTGGGCACTGGAGGAAACTTCAGGGAACGTTCACTGGCAAGGCCGAGACCAGTCGCGGTGTCTTTTGGATTTCCCTAAGTTTCTTCTTTTGAATTTTTGCTTATTGTGGTGTAGCGGGGAAAACCCACCGAACTGCTATTGAAATTGTTGCTCCCCCTTCCAACGTCAACCTGTTGAAAATCAAGCCACAGGTTTTGGCCTCCAGATTTGCCCCCCGTTTCCGGTTTCGGCGGCGCGGCGTTTGGGAGTTGAACTATGGATGACCCCCTGCAAGTGAGTGGCACAGTGGTTTGGATTGGTGGTGTTTGGTGGCGTTCAAATGGGGTGGCTTCCCATTTACCCTCAAGAACTGGGGCTTCAAATCCAAATCCAAACCAGTTCGTTACCAAAACGAATGGTTGCTTTCCTCTTGGCCCATCCAAAGCAGTCCCGCTTTCACATGGCACGCAAGGGGATGTGCAAGAATGAGTTTTTGTTTTTGCTTTTTGTTTCTTTTTTTCCGGGTTATGGGTGTCGTACTTGGGAGAGTCGGCGAAGAGTTTTGTGACAGGGCCTAACGCCAATCAGGTTGTGCTTCGAGGACCTTGCCTTGTCTATCTCCTGCAAATTAACATGGCCCCCCAAAACTGAGTCGACTACACGGAGATTTCAGGGTTTCTAGGGTCCACGTCAGTCCTGCAAGTATGAAGCGGTTTCACATGGCTGAAGGTGTGGGTAGAACTGTATCCTTAGAACGATGCATCTTAGTCATCACCCTCCGCACAAACAATGCGCATGCATACACCTTTGCCATGCCCCTGGTGTTAAACAGGCACTAGTTTGCATCCTGGTTTGATTTAGCACCCCTTTGTAGACAACCTTCTTGCGCATGTCAAGCTGAACTTGTTGATGTCTTTCTCTATGCAGGTAGATTAATACACCGCCTGGTATATGTGCTGGGCTCAAAGATGAGTGCTCAACTTCTATGTTCCCCGGGTATCAATGTAGTTGCTTGACTTCCCATCTGGACTTGATATTTTTGGGGAATGCCATTTTAGTGGCAATTAGAAAGGTTCTACTTTTTTCGGTCTGGTTGATGCTGGGTCCCTTCAAGTTGACATTTGGAGGGTGTTTCAACATGACTTACTTTTGGGCCGCGGATGCCCTGCAAACCACCGTTTAGATGGCAACTTTGAGGACGTCACATTTGACCTACGCGGATCCAGCGAAACACCCCCGAACCCCCCCCCCCCACCTGACCAGAATTTGGGGCTTGAGAAGTTTGATAGAAGCTTGCGGCGAAAGCCAAACTGGCGTCCGGAAGGGCCCCCCCCCAACACCTCCCCAGAATTAAGGGCTTGTCCTGAAGGGTGGGTTAGGTGAGTTCGACTGGTTGAGAGTGTTGTGCCCGGATTTTTTCCAAACGAGGCCGAGGGGGCATCCTGCTTTTGGAGGATGGCACGCGTCTTTTGTTCGTATCCTCCAAAGATGGAACTGGTGTTGCTTTTGGGGGAGCTTAACTGGTTGGTCAGGTGGGTTGGGTGGATTCCTGTGCCTGGACGTAACAAGCTCGCCTGCTTGTTGTGGAGACTTAACTGGTTTCAGGTGTCACTTAACCCAGAAAGCCAAAGCAGGCACCAGCCATGTGGAAAAATGGTGGTTTGTGGCCGCGTTCTGTGGCAAATGTTCTTGCAGGTTGATTCAGTCAGGATGGGAATCAACGACTAAATCGCGCGTTTACCGGCCCGCAGCTTTCTTTTTCAGATTGTGGCCTTGGAGACCTTCGGCGGGCAAACACAGAGTGTGCTCGACCTACGGCAGGCTGGAGTTTCGGTTCTCAAGTGCGAAGGTCCAACAGGGCTCCTGAAAAGATACATTTTGCCCCCATTTAAAACATGTTACTTTTTCAACACCAAAATAAGGGGGAACCACCTTTTACAAGGCAATGCTCAGGTGTATAATGTAAGGATCCCTGTCCAAAATTTAAGCTGCCTTCTTCCCAAAGTGGACATGGGGGCTGAAGCCCATGTTGAGAAAGTTCCAGAACTTGACGAGCTTTGAGAGGGCAAGTCGGGAGGAAAGCAACCACTTGGAAAGAACTGGATTTGCGGTATACGCTCCCTCACAGAAGCAAAGTGGATAATTTGAACGGATCAATCAACCCCTGGTTGATTCATGTAGATCTGCCCCCCTTTATATGGGGATTCTTCACTTGGGAGAAGCACTCCGCTAGTACTCCGCCAGGTGGAATACTCTGGGGTCGACATGACCTGTGTGGCTTCAAACAGAAAGCTGGTGTCACTCTGGCTTGGCCAAGAGGGTTCGATGCCCACAGGTGCACTGAAACCAGTTGTTTGTCTATGGTCCTAACATGGGTTCGGGAGCTCTAAATTCAACCACAGGACGAACCTGTTTTTTGTTTTCTCCACGGAACCACACATATTGGAAATGGATGCCTCATGGGCACCTCGACATGGGTTCGGTTGCTGTTTTTGATTCGGCGCCCTTTCACTGTGCGATTTAAGAGCAATCACCCGTTTTGGGGGGGAGCCGGGGAGCAGTTTGAGACATATCATTCAGACCACGTCCATCAAGATCCCGTTCAGATACTCCCAAGATATTGGGACCAAACAAAGCCTTTCCCCTTTCCCTCTCCTCAACAGAAAAACAAAGATCAACATTTGAGGATACGAAAGAGAAATCGAGAGGTTGGAGCGTTCCCTTGGAGTGGTGTCCCACTGAATTCCGACTATATAGGATTGGGTCCTAAAGCACCGCTGGACTGGGCAATGGATTGCTCAGTCCTATGTCACCGGATTGAAATCGAGCAAAGAAAGATGGCTCGTTTTGGTGTTTCCCCAACCACGGCCACTGGAGGTCGTTTTTTGGATGTGATGCTTGTTTTTGTTTTTTGCTCCGCCCCAGATCCCCGACTATGTCAAGTAACCCTTCATGGGGGTTTGGATGTGTGCTTTGGTTTGTTGAACCCCTGGTCCTTGTGGAAACCCCTGCAAAGCCTCCAAACCAATCCAAACCACCAAGTGGAAAGCCAAGTAGGTGCCAAGCCTGGTTCCTCTTGGCTTGTGGTTTCCTACTATGCAGGGAAATGAAGCTCTGCAGTACTGCGGATGGTCGCGAAATCTATTTCGCACCACCGTTCAGAAGCCGTGGAATGATTCGATGTCCCTGCAAATACCATCAAAGAATAGTTTTTCACCCATGGTTTCAAAGTGGTGCAGAGAGTCGTCCATCCACAGTACTGTGTGAATTATAACGACCTCACACGCCCGAATTCACCCCAAATGGTGGTTTATGTGGGGAATAGCCCCCTTCACCACCGCAAGTTTCAGATTCAGGCTGGTGAAATATGATAACTCACCCAGACCGCGGGTTTTGGGAAAAAATCACTGGGAGCGGCGGATAGGCGGAGGGCCTTGGGGACCCGACCATCGTCATCAGCTGTGAGACGATCAGCCACGAGGACGCCTCGCGATGGGTTCGAAAGTCGAGATACCCTCAGGGATGGCCCTCTAGGATACCTTCCATTTGCTGAAATGGTTTGTTATTTTGTCTATTTACTTGTTTCCCCTTGTTGGCTTTAACGATAATCTATGACTACTGGACATTTTTTTCATTTTTTTTCAGCGGGCTCTGAACGCAAATGGAGGAGACAGCTGAGAAGCAAAGCTGGCCCCCATCAAGACCCCGGCAAAATGGAATTTCCTGGGCCTTAGGGCTCGAGTCTACTTCACCAGCGTCAGATCCAAACCAACTCATGGCGACAAGTCTAGTGCTGTTTTCCCATTGGCAGTCGATTCCCACTTTGAAGAAGGTTAAAGTGAACCGCTCGATTTGCCAACCCGGCCAAACGGAAGTCCTGGTAACGAGGTAGTGCAATATTGTTCACGTAGTCCTCAGCTTACAACTGGCCCAGTACCCTCTTCTCGTCCTGCCGAATCCACCGCCGAGGCACATGACATCCGTTCATACATTTCCAAAACCCACTCGGTTCAAAGTTGACACCTGGTATGGATGTACTCAAGCCCTGTAAAGAATCAACAGGGCGATTCGAAAGCCGGCATCTTATCTTCAGCTGCTTACACATTGACATCAGGCAGCCCTGAAAAGGGCGGCTTTCTTTGGGGTCGCATGGCCCCCTTTAAACACGCATCTTCGTCTGCGCACGTTTTTTTCTGCTCAAGGGCTTGTTTGCGCGTTTGGTGGTATCTTTGCGCGCTTGTTTGGAATGTGCGCGCTTTTCGAGCATTTGCGCACTTTTTGGAGAAAACTACTCACGTAGTCGACTTCGGTACTGCTTGTGGAAACAATCGATACTGCGCTACTAGTTCCCGTGCCGGCGCAGTTGTTTGTTGAAGTATCTTATGGTTACATCTTAACTGTAGCTCTTTTTTGTCTCAACCCAGGCATTGTTTAGGCAGGCATTTCGTTGCGCATATGGCACCCGGCGCAAGCACCACCTATCACCGGGACTTGACACTTTGTGGCCGTTGATTTTTTGTAGCTAGCTTGGCTGGCTTCAACCTCCATGAATAGCTCCAAGCCCGCAAGCATGTCCTGGGTTTGCACGGATCCGCTGTTTGCTCCAGGACCGTGCCGCGCCACACTTTTTGTTGAGACAAGTCGCTGTCAAGTGAAACGTTTTCTTTTTTTTAATGGGCGCCCGCAATTTGCGCGCAAATTTCCTGTACTATCGCGCAAAAAAACACAATTGCGCGCAAATACGAAAAGTGTGCACATGCATGTGCGCGTTTCAGACCATTTTAGGCAGAAGATGTCCCAAAGCGCCCGAATAGCCAACCAAAAGCTATATTTTGAGGCAGGTGTGGTCAGTTGAAGCTGCGCCGATCCCTTTCAACCTGGAAGCGGTGTTCGGATTTCTTGGACTCTCGAATTTAAGCTTGTTTCTCTTGTTCATCAAGCTGGCTTGTCAAGACGCAAGGCTAAGCCAGACAACGCCCAACAGGCAGCCAAAACGCATGCAGGTTCCTCGGATCATTCAGGCCAGTTCTGGTCGACAAGGCGCGCATGTATCCTTGTCCTAGTTCTTTTTGAACAGCTTGACAGGTTGATGTCAAGGCTATATACGCCCAGAAGTATGGTCTTGTTCTGGGTGCTGGGAAGGACACGAGGATCCTTTCCCGGTGCATCCAGGGGGGCACGAGCATCTTCGGCGATCCGGTGTCGGAAAGCCCCTCGGTGCATCCGAAGAATCGGACTTACAAGACCTATGGGTGGCGGGCCAACATGGAAGCCGAGTTTGGCATTCCTGTTGGAAGATTAACCCGGCGCCCCCCAGGACTCAAAATAGATAGCTCAGCAAGGCGAAAAATGAAGAACACGAAACCAGAAAGCAAAGAAGACTGTCTGCAGGTCCAGTTGCCCAATGGGCAAGGCATTGGTTGTGCTCCGTCTTGAAAAGCACAAAAAAAGCCGTCTTGAGATTGTGCACTTTGCGAGTGCTCTGAAGGTTTGGGAGTTGCAGAGAAAGTACCGAGTTGTAGATGGCCTTTCAAGCATCACTTGTTGGACCAAACTCAAGGGAGATTCGAATTCCCAAGGCAGTGGTTTGCTTTGCCTGCATTTGCTAGTAAGAATGCAGCAAAAGTGGTTGGGTGCAAACCACCCACCGCTCAGGACATCCCTTTCTGCTGAATTTCAACGTCACCCACGAAGTAGTAGGTCTATGTAAAAGGCGATTGTCTCAGCGGGTGTCACAGGATACGGCCGCCACGGCCGCCATCCGGCAACCGCCAGCGCACCCCATTTTGGGCTTCGGAAATGGTTCAACGACTTGGTTGCCCATAGCCTCCAACAACCCGGCATACCCAAAGGAGTGTGTCTTGAAAAATAAAGCCCTCAAAATGCAAAAAGGGGGTGGTCAAACATATGAGCCAAAAAAAAGCTGCCGGGAGCAAGCACCTGATTTTGACACATAATTATCCAAATGGGTATGTGTCAAAAAAGCGGAACTTCCATTTTGACCCGGTGTCCATGTGTTTCATCCCCAGGTGTCCCACTCTTCCCCGGCGAAACCGAAGCCCAGCGACTCAGGTTTCTACGCGGAGCGCGTGGAGGAGCCCCTGGACCCCGGCGCGGATGCCACCACGCGGCGCTTGCAGCAGGTCAGCATCGACACGCGCCTCGGCGAAGGTCGCGGTCGCGACGTCGAAACGTCGCGACGTCGCACGACCGCGACATCGCGGTCTCATGGCCCTGATCTGACAGTCAGCCTCACGGGGGTGTGTTGGGGGGGGGTCAAGTCAAACACATGTCCAGCGGGGTGTGTTATGAAACCCGAACCGTGGGCTTCGGACGTATTGTGCTTATATATATATATATATATATATACGTCAAGACAAGCTTGTAGTGCCAATTTGTTATCCCCCCCACCAACAAACATGGTGCACAGGCCTTCCAAACGTAAAAGGGGACGGGTGTGTCTTACGTTTCCACGAACCCCCCTTTTGACACCCAGTGAAACTCTCTCTTTCAGTCATTGCAAGACGAAGTGAATGAAACTTCTTCATGGAGTAGCCAGTGTGGATTCGGAACCAATCAATTGTCCATCTATCCCAGGCCTTCAGTGCCCCGTTTTCCTTTATTTTGGAGCGGGTTTATTCTTTGAACACAACAATTAAAAAAAAAAAAAAAAAAAAAAAAAAAAAAAAACGGCCGCCCTTTCCCCATGACCCTGGGGATGTGGGCGGCTCATGTCATTCGTGTGGCCCATGTCATTCGTGAAGCTCAGGCTGGCCTTGCAGCTGTCCCGGCTGCCAGTGGCCATTTCCGTGAACTACGAGCCTGCCGGCATGCATTCGGACAGGTGGAATTCGGGGGCAGATGGGTGAGTGCTTTGACGGTACCCTTCTTGGGTTGGAAAAAAAGGGAAAGACAAACCACAATTGTTGGAGCCCAAAGCCCAATTTTGGCATGCTGAGATTGACTTGCGGCCACAAGGGGCTCCTTCATTCACCCCAAGCAAATAGTTAACTTGTTCGCCTGTCTAAGCCTGCCCAAGGAAACCACCAAAAACTTGAGGGTTCTGGGATGAGAAGGTTGGTCAATATTCCCTTCGGCCCCCAAATGACCAAGGGTAACTTGTTCCAAGTCAGAAATATCAACTTTCGAGTGGTCTCCCCAATGGTCATCCCATGCAAACCACCATTAAATCAATGGGGGTTCATATAACCTGGTGTTTACCTATCTTTGAATGGGGGCTTTGGGAACCCTAGGGTAATTGTTTTGATCCCATGAAAAAGGACCTTTTGATCAATTTCCATGCCACTATGTTTTGCGTCTTGTTTATTTTTCCGTGCTATGAATGGCCCCAACTCGGTCCAGCGTTTGCACATGCCTTTAGTCTCCCAAAAAGAAGGCCTGCTGCAGCCGTGTTGGTATCCCAGCTTTGTAGTCCAAGCGATTTATCAACTCTGATGTTTAACCCCCTGATTCATTCGCGATTGCAATAGCCAGCTGATTTTTGTTGAACGCCATGGTTGAAAATGGGGTGCACGGTCCGTCCCATCGTCAGGGACAAACTCACGAACGTGGAGCCAACTGTTTTTGCTCCGACTGGTTTTTAGACCCGGTGTCATTCCTGTAGGCTTCATTCCTGTTCGGCCTTGAGGCCTCACATGTGTGGCCTGAATCGAGGGTTTCTCTCCCCAATGCCTCCTGCCCCAAACCACCAATGGCATCATTTTCCGAGTTGCTCTAACCAAACGTGAGCCGGTTGCAAACGCGAAACAGACCACTTCAGATCCCCTGAAGTGGCTCAAACTGCAGCAGCCCCCAAACCCCCAGCCTGTAAACCCCTGTAATCAACTGCTGGCTAACCGATCTTCCAAGGATGTACGCTTGCAATAAATCGGGGGACGACTATACATATGAACTAGTTCCTGGCCCACTTTTGTGCCAGCCAGGGGCACAGTAGCTTTTCAAAGATGACTGGTATACCAGCTACTGGGACCCGCTACCTCTCTGGACATCTGTGGCTTCTTGTCGTGCTTCCCGTGACTGAGGTTGGATTGCTCCATCCTCAACAGGCCCGGGATGGTCTTGCCGAATGGGTGAATCCACCACTTCGAGTTTGGGCTATTTGGTTAGAAAGGCATCCAACGAAAGAAGCTAAGTCCCCCGGTAGCGCCCTATTCTACCAACTTTTTTTTGGGGGAGGGTTGCCCTAGACCACAGAAAAAAAATCGGGTACCCTTATTCTAACCTCTCAAATCTGGAGGACCCAGGACGGCTTCAGCTTCCAGAAGCAGGACTTCCGTTTCCTACAGGAAAATGGCCAAAGGGGGGGGGGCCTTGTCTTCACCTGACAGTTTGCACCTATTTGCCGGGTGTCGAAGGGGTCGATTGAGCTGGTTGATCATCGGGCCCCTTTCAGGATCCCAACCACAGGGGAATCCACCATCCGTCAACATCGAGCCCTGATTGCTGCAGTTATTTGAAGAGGGGCCAAAATTGCAGGAAGCCCCCCCCCAACCCATCCCGGAAATCATTCCTAAAGGGAACAACAAAAGGAAAAAGCCAAGTTCAGCTATCATTCCGACTGTGTGGCTACTTGTTTGGATCTTTGTACTTCGACTTTTTGGGCAACCAATGGGATTTTATCCATTGGACCCCAAACAAAGTTCAGGCTTTGCAGAGGGCGCCCAAGGGCCGAGACCTCCCTTGGGAGCAACGCGCAACGCCGTCCTGGACCATCCGCAAGGCTCAACGAGACCTGCGGCCTCCGACCGGAGAACATCTCAGTGCCGTCCTCCAGGCGGCGCGTTTTGTGGAGGGTACCCTTTTTCGGGTTGGTGTTTAACGAGACACAAGGGGTTTGAGCCATTTTAGCGGTAGTACTTCAAAATGTCCTTCCGCTTGTTCACCTTGTTTGGGTCCTCCAAACACCGCCAACCCCTAAAAGGGCAAGAAGGGGTCACTGTTCAACTGGGTTTTCGCAGACCTCCCCAGGGCCCTTGGGTTTTCCGATCTGTCAAGCAGAAAAAGCTGCCCCAAGGTTCAACCAGATGTTCCACTTCTGTTTCCTGTGGGTGCTAAATAGGTTTTGCCTGTAAAGGAACCCCAAAACGAGGGTGAGGTACTCAAGTTGGTTGGAGCCTTTGACACCTACCGACTATGGTACCTCAGGACCTTGGGCGTGTTGGGTTCTTGAATCATGTCAGATCCAATGCATCCCGCAACTTGGGTCATATATCATACCTTGGGAAGGACATTCCTTTGGTTGGACTTCAGTCGCTTTTTGGGTCTGAGTTGACTTTTTAGGGGATCTCGGGCAACTAAAGCGGGAACATCACAACACTGGGCAGCATCTATCTCAAACCACCAAAAACTGGGGGCCCTGTGGCGCAATGGCAGCGCACCCCTTTACGCATTCTGCGTCGGGAGGTAGAGGCAGGCCTTGGCTATATTCCGTCGTGGTGATTTCAAGCATCACCCTTTAAGGTGGGTTTGCCGCAAGGACTTAGTAGGGAGATGGAGCCCCGTCTTGGGGCCAGTTGCCTTCGAGGCAGTGGCAAGCGGTTCGCCTGAAGCCGTGTCCCGCTGGCGAGCATCGCATCAACTACACAGGCGAACCGAGCACCAGAGACCCATCCACAGGGAAGTGGTTCGTGTTGATTTGAAGGTTTTCTGATGGGTGAAAGTGATGCAAAAAGTGTGCTGTTCTTTTGGTGAACCTCCATCATGATTTGTTAGTGGCAGGACACAAAAAGTGAGCCTCACTTGTTTGGTGAACCTCCATGATAATTTGATTTGTCAGTGTTGGACACAAAAAGAAAGCCTCACTTGCTTGTCGTTGATTGGTGAACCTCCATGATGATTTGACTAACTTAAGGTACCAACCGCGAAAGTTGTGCGTGTAAGGGACTTGTAGGTGCCCGGCCTTGGATAAGCTCAGGAGGCTTTTGGTTCGGCCAATTTCCTTCCGACGTTGGCTGGCGGTGCGTAGACTCGGGAGCAGGGAGGGGCAGTCTCTTTCCCTGTGTAGAGTTGTTCTTCGTGCAGAATCCTTAGGGCTATACTCCTAGAGGGGGGCACTACTGTAGAGGGGGCCAGTCACCTTTTTCCAATCCAGACAGGTACAAGGAGATATTGTCGTTTCGGGGGTGTGCCAAAGTACAAACCACGGGAACACTCAGATCGATTCTTTCTTGCTCGCTGGGCTCACAGGCCATGGTTCACGAAGCAATTTGGCTGTGGTTGTCAAAACCGTTTTGGAATCCCATTTTGGAGTAGCACCACCCATTTTAGTCTATTTTGGTGGGGATTGGGATGTTCACTGGGGGTACGGGATTTTGACCCAAGCCCATTTATTAAGGAACTTTCATGGCTAGTTCAAGAGCTCACCGGGTGAAACAATCATAGCCAGGTTGCATGTGCCGTTGGCCTAGTGCTGAATCAATGGAAGAAAATGAGATGCATCAAAAATGACCACATATCGAGAAAGGTTTGCAAATCGCAGTGGAAACTGAGCC